AACAAGCTGGCAGTAACTCCGCGATATGCAGTGATTTACAGTTGAAACTAATAAACAAAACTCGACGGAAAGTGGTCATTTATCGTTAAAAATGATGTTCAGGATTTGATTAGGGACAGGCAACCACGTCTACAGGATTCGTTTATTCATTTCCTGCTATCTTATGTTTTTGAGTGACCGTTAGCCTTTTTCCAAGCAACCCTCGAAGGAAAGAGCTGTTGACGACAGCCTTGTCAGCGAGTGGTTGCTGTTGGCATTTGCTATCATTGAGGTTACTACGGAAAGCGTTCGCATCTTTCGGAGAGCGAACAAGGAATAAATTCGATTTTATGCTTTCGATCTAACCATCAATGTATGAAGTGATACTTCCATCTCCCCCTCTCCCCTTTCTTTCGTAGGCTGCGGTTAGCAGAGTTTCAGAGAGAACCTCGGTGCAACTAAAGTTTAGCCAAATGTTTCTGTTGGCAAGCTGCTCAGTGCTATTAATCCCTTCAGGAGATGAAACGAACCCAGGGTCACCATCAGGTTGTTCACAATGCAAAAGCAACATTGGCAAAAGTAATCGGAAAAGTTGCCAGCTGCAAAGGTGGAGGACCCCACCACGAATTATGAGTGACCAAAGTATTAAGCAAAACGCATCAAGAAGCGCTTCCGGTGTTTGCAACTTTTTGAAGCAAATGTCGCGAAATAACTACACGTTGTATTTGACTTGTACCCTCGTAAATTTGATAAATTTTCGCGTCGCGCATCAGTTTCTCTACTGGATATTCCTTGCTGAATCCATTACCTGCAACAGCACGGTGACCCATTTTCTTGATTTCTACAATTGCCAACTAAGAATACCAAAACTACCTGATAACTAATTTGAGTATTCCATGTTAGTGATTTTACTAGATTTCTCCTCTAACTGGATACAGCTATGCCAGATCTTTCGATCAAAAATGCATAATTCAACAGCTATAAAGTGTAGCTAGGGCGAGTGCTAGTGCTCTCGCTCGATCTAAGGGTTTTTCAAAGTAGGCGCTAACAACCCATCAAGGAAACGGATCAGTAGGGACTATCGCTGGTGTCGTAAGAAAGATAGAAAATTCCACTTCACTAGTGGAACAATCAGCCCTTTACGATTCGTTCTTCCGCCAGATTCGTACGAGCATATGCCAGAGAGCCAAACTCGTCATCAGTTTGCTAGTAAGCAACCCTCAGAAGAGGAGCCATCGACAATCTTGTCAGTGAACGGTTGTTTTTGACATGTGCTACTACCCTTACAGAGAGTGAATGTGAAACAATTGTGCCTTTGATGGTGGCGGCAGCAGAAAGTATAAAAATAGAAATTTCTGAAA